GCCGCCGCCGTGAGCCAGGATGGCCTCCTTGTCCTTGCGCCGGGCCAGCTCCCGCCGTTCGCGGAGACCCACGAACCAGCCCACGCTGAAGCCAGACACCACGGCGCCCACCACGAACGCCGCCACTGAGGACGTCACCAGTAGGTTCACTGACACCAGCCCTGCGCGCTCATCCGAGAGGCTGGCGCGCAAGAGTCCTGGGGATAGAAAGTGGCAGTGCAGTCCCGCCCTGAAAGCTAGTCTGTCTGCGCTTTCTAGGCACTGAGCCACGCCCATCCTAAACCAGGATCCACTCCGACCACTCCCTAATCCCTCACTGGAGCAGGGTGGGTGGAGGTGGGTGTGTCCTTGGCAGGGACTCCACCACTGACCACGCCCCCTGCCCATCACTGGAGGATCCTAGACCAGAGCTCCACCCCAGACTTCATCCCCAACTTATGAGCTGTATGTCTGAGCCACGGCCCTTGTCGGTGTTTTTATTTTTCTGTTATCTCCCAATCAGGCGGGTCTCATTTTTACCCCTCCCTGCAGCAGCCACCAGAGGGAGCCTGTGAGCACGGAGCCGCTGTCTGCCCACAGCCTTCCCCTGGCTCCCACCTCCCTTAGGGAGTCTGTGATAGTCCACCCTCCACCCCGCTCCAGGACTGAATGTCACAAGAATCCCTTGTTGATTTGTGTCACAACACACAGGGGAGTCCCTTTTCCAGCTTACCTGTGCAGTCCCCTAAGCCTGAGGTGCTAGCCCCGGACACATCTTGCTCAAACATGGCACTGAGGTTGGGGGAAGGGAACAGAAGTAGACTTATCAGAGACCCCTTTGCACCCAGTATGGCATGGGGGAGGAACAAGGACTGCGGGTCCTCAGATGCGCCCCCAGCATGTCCCCCTTTCTCTGTACCTGGTTCCTGGTCTGAGGAAGATACAGGAACCGTCAGGGGCCCACCCGCAGTACGGATCCTGGCTGCCAATACAGTTCCTAGGATAGAGCATGTAACAGCCACTCAGGGACCTGGGCCATGTGGTTTCCGGTCACCGAAGCTGTGATGGACTCAGAGTGGTCTTGGAGGCCTGGGCTACTTCCTCTCCCTTTTTCACACAGGAAAGCAAAGGCTTCGGTCTGAAGTACAGCCACAAGGCTGGGTGGGAGTCTGAGCCCACAGAGTCTGGCTACACAGCCTCCCCACTGCTCCTCCAATACAGGCTCCATCCTGCCCCAGGCCCTTTGCACAGCTGTGTCCTCTGCCCAGTTCACCTGTCCTTCCTTGAACCAAAGCTTTTCAGTGAAATCTGGCTCCCCTCCCCTTCGCCTCCCGCCCTGTGCCAGCTTGCAAGGGGCACTCACTTCATGCACCCCGAGTACAGCTGGCAGCGGGCGACAGGCACACGGACCACGCAGCGGGGGAAGGCCGCCAGCAGGCCACCCGAGGCTGTGTCCAGCTCCAGGCTCAGCAGTCGCTGCCCCCACTCACCACCACTGCCAGATTGTCCACACCTAGGCACACAGGGTGGTGAATGAGGCTGGGGTGCCCACCCTGTGGTTTACCCAGCCACTCCCACTTCCCTGGTTATGCCCAGACCTGTCAGGCCGGTAGGTCTCAAACTCCTCCAGGAAGACGCTGGGCCCCGAGGTCCCTGAGACACTGGTGTTGGGCTTCACAAGGAATTTGAGGACAGTGCCCACCTCGGAGCCAAGGAAGACTATTGTCTGATTGCCCCACGGGCCCGCACCCACATCCACAGCCACACGGGTCAGCTGGTGCCTGGAACACAAGATTGTGGAGGTCAGTTTGGCCCTGAAGCCCTGCAGGCCTCCCACTCCACACATGTCTATCACACATCCCCTAAGTTGTGGGGTACAGGAGTAGCTAGTTATACAAGTACACACTGACAGTTACACACTGATGTGCGTGACACCAAGAAGTCACGCTATGTCCTTCCTCGAGCCCTTTGCATAGCTGTGCCCCTGCTCTCTACCCCAGGGACTTCGCATGAACTGTCCTCAACCAGCAAATCCTTCAATAAATGAAGGTCCTTGACAGTGACCCCATCCCCCCTCACCATGCCACCCTGAACTATCCCCTCCCCAGCACTGACCGCATCAGAGTCCTCACGATCCAGGGCGCGTGACCCAGGGACGGTACCGCCTCGTCCATCAGTGGATGGGTCTTCACGAAGTTGAGGATCTCGTCTGGCAGGGCACTGGATGCGTTGTACTGCATGCCAGGTGCTACACAGCACCCAGGCCTGGGGGAAGGCAGAAGGGGGGTCAGTGAGGATGCAGGGTGTCTGGGCTTGAATGGCTCTCCACTGTGAGGGGTTCCCACTCTGACTGTAACACTTTAACTCATTGGAGCTTCAGGACCTTTGCTCAGTTGGATCCTATTTGCCCCGGGGCCTCACACAGGCCTTGCCCTCTGCCCCAGGGCCTTGGCACACACTCTTGCCCTCTGCTGGCTTATCCCTCAACAAATGAAGGTTGTTGATATTGGCTAAGGCCTGGTCATTTCCGGTGGTTCTCTGTTGTTGCTTCCACCACCAGCTTCTCTCAGTTTCCCTGCAACATAGGATGGTGAGCTGAGCTGACCTCCCCAAGCTGGCTACCATAGGAGCAGGATACTCCTTGGGCACCCTATGAAGATGGATGTTATTGTCACCTAGGCCGTGGCACTTGGTCTTCAGGCACTGGTGTCCAGATGGACTCAGGGGACTTCTGTTCTCGGAAACGGCCTTCAAACACAGCAGCAACTTGGTTCATGTCGAAGGCGCAGACGGCTGAGCCAGGGATGCTGCGAAGGAGGCAAGAGACCCTGCTGAGCCAGATGGAGGGTTGCTATCTCCCCTGTGCTGCCCAAGTCCTCTGCTGCTCCTCCCATGTGAGCAACACAAGCCACTCTACCTCCAGAACACCCCCAGTTTGGGTCACCATGCAGCTTCCTCTACCCCAGGGTCATTGCATGTATTCAGTTCCTACCATGGCTTACCTGAATGTCTGGTTTCCCAGAGGCCACTCTCTCTATGGATCCTTGTTTGCCTATGACTCCCTTGTGCTCTCAGACCCAAGTCCAGGCCTTGTTCCATGTGTGACCCTCCATAATTTTAACATGTTCCTGGATCGTGCTGGCTCTCTCCACCCATTGCACATGAACCTCCTTCCTCCAACAGCACACCCTCTGAACCTTCGTATATCCTGTCCCCTCTTCCATGCTCCAGTGTCCCTTCTTCAGAAACCCTTCCTGCCATGTCCCAAAAGACGACAGGACTCTGGGTATCTCTTTTGTTCCTGGGCCCCAGCTTGGCACAGAGCTCTCCTGGGACCAATGCCGCCCAACACAGGGCTCAGAGAATGTTTGCTGAGGGAATGTGTGAACCCTGGGACTCTGCTCACCAAATACCCCCAGTGGGCACCCACTGGCGCTGGCTGACCTGTTGCTGGGGGTTGAGAAGACAGCGAGGATCACTGGCCGGCCACCCAGGTCCACCACACCTGTCACAGCCTGCAGTACGTTGAAGTAGAAGTGCGAGTCCCCAGGCACAGAGCAGTTGAGCCGCGCCTTCAGGAAGGAAGTCCACTGCTTCTCCAGCACCCGTGGGGAGCCACCCACATCATTCTTGCATACACGGGCCACACGGGATACCACCACCTGACAAGCATCAGGTATCAGGAATAATCTGAGTTAGCATGATGTAGACATGGCTGCTGCAAGCCACGCACGACAGAGGAAACCTGTTACAAAGGACTGATACAGCATGCGGGACACCAGACACCAGGGGTGCAGATGCATAAGTAACAATTCAAGAGATAAATGGATGGATGGATGGATGGGTGGGTAGATGGATGGATGGGCGGGTAGATTGTAGTAGGCTCAGGTTAATTCTTCTGTGAAGGGCTGAAGAATAGATAGTTTGGTTTGTGGTCGCGTGTCAGTGAGACAGTGTTGGGTAGATGACAGCAGGAGCTGTGGGGGTCACATGACACCATTGTCTTCAACACTCCCCTATACAAGGATTCCAAATTCCACAGTTACTTTTTCAATGTCTTCCAGTCTCAGAGACCTGGGCCTTGCTGGAGGGGACTCTATGTAAAGGCTGGACTCTCTGACTCAGGTGGATTCCATGGATTAGAACTCCTGTCCACCTTCCCATATGTAAGCTTCTCAACTCAGTGTTCCCTGCCCAGGAATCTCGGGGGTAGTTTTGTCACCTTTTCCAGGTAGTTGAACTCCATGGCAATTTCCCGGAAGAAGAAGTAGACATGGCTACCCCACTCGACTGCGTGCACGAAGTAGGGCTCTGTGGAGAAAATGTTGGGTTCCAGGCTTAGTCATCATAAAGTGGTCTCTGGGGTTCAGAATGTCATCAGAGCATACTGTGAGCTATGCCTTTGATTATGAAGAGGGGACTTGGATTGGCCACTTAGCCAACATGACTGCGTTCAGTTTGACTCTTTCTGGGTGAGTGGGTCACAACTCAAGAAAATCACTGTGTCCACCCTCTCCAAGTCAATCTGTGCTATTTTATGGCATGTTCCTCCTCATTTGGTGGAGAGCGAGGCTCCAGGCTTCCCGTCCTGCCCTTCCTCTTGGGGATCCTCATCCATCCACCCACTTCCAGCATGTTCTATTTTACATCAAAATCTTCCATCTCGTCTCGTCTTTGAAAAGATCAACAGATTCCAAAAATGAGGTAGTCTCTCCGCTCCTGATCTCCTCTGGGACTTTCATTTTGTTGCGGGATGTCAGGTAAATGTCACATCTATGAGGTTGACACTCTGCTCTTAATGGGTCTCACCTTTAAACCACTTGGAGTCATGCTTTACTGTGCGCAGGGTGGGCCGGTCCCCGAGGCTGCGGTAGATGACTGCATCAATGGCTAGGAAATCAGTCACTGTGGCTGTGAAGAGCATCCCATCTGGATATGGGGAGCAGGGTATGAGAGAAGCAGATGGGGGGCAGACTGAGAAGCACATGGGGGGCAGACTAAGAAGCAGATGGGGGGGGTAGACTGAGAAGGCCTAGAGAGAAGCCAGGCATGGTGGCACACTCCTGAATCCCAGCACTCGGGAGCCAGAGACAGGCAAATCTCTGTGGGTTTGAGGCCAGCCTGGTCTGCAGAGGGAGTTCCAGGTCAGTCAGGGCTACACAGTGAGACCCTGTCTCAAAAAACAACAATAATAAAAGGCCTAGAAGGGACTGAGGCAAAAATTGGAACCTCAGCCTAGTGTGGCCTGTCACCAGGCTGAGCCTGGAATCTGTCATGATCCCAGGTTGAGCCTGGATCCCAGGCTCCATCCTGACCCTGACTGTGTCCCTTAGGGTCTGCCCATTTCCCAGCTGCCTCCTAGTGACCAAGGTTTTAGGAATGGAAAATGCCTTTCCTGGGGCTGGATGGATCAATGGCAGGAACTGCTCACCTGAGAAGAGGGCGACATTGGCATGCTTGGGGTCGTAGGGACAGCGAGCCATGCCACTGATGTTGTCCCCAAGAGGCTGCAGCGTGTCCATCTGCACAGAGGACAGAGTCTGAGCAACTAATTTCACCCTACCTGGCAGCTCCGGGCTTCCCCACTCCAGACAAAACCCACCCTTGCTGCACTCTGCACTGCTGTGTGACTCTGGCTAATCAATTAACCTCTCTGGGCTTTAGCTTCCTGGTCTGTGAATGGGCCTGAGTCTACTGTGGCAGACCTAGTACAGGGTTGTGTGTGGCTGGTAGGAAGTATTGGCAGATGGAGGGTGAGGCAGACCCTTCCGGGCTGAGAAGGGCTGAGACTCACACTGTAATTGGCACAGACGGGATTGAATGCGTTGGAGCCGCACACGAAGAGGGTGGACTCGTCACGAAGCAGGAGCACCTTGACGAAGTTCCGACACTCGCCCTGGGATGGGGAGGAAGGCAGGAGGCGTGAAGGGTGTTGCCTGGTTTCTTTGCACATGGCTCAGGCTGGGAGCTAAGCCAAAGTCCATCTACGGTATGGGGCTACTGGTACGGGATGAAGGAGGTTGGGCGTGTGCTGGGTTGGTTGACTATGGTAACCGGGACATCCTACTTTCTGTGAAACCATAAGGTGGGGTTCCTCCTCTGAGATGGGAAGAATCACCCTGAGCCTGGCCAGGGAAGCTTGGGGCCCGGCAGATGGCCAGGAAGGGTGGGACGGTCTAAGCCTGGACAGGGTCAGGTCCCTCTAACCTCTTGCTTGCCCTTCATCCGACACACATCAATGTCACTGGGATTGGAGCGCCAGGTCAGCTTCTGCCAACACAAAGAAAGTGGGGTGAGGTGGGTGTGGCCGCCAGAACCCCTCAGATCCCTTCTCTCAGTCGAGTCTGTCCGGCTCCCCATCTCTCCTCACACACCCCAGTACTGCTCGTCTTCCTTACCCTCTGGTACCGCAGCTCCGTGGATGTGGATGGTTCCAGCTCTACCTGGTATAGGTTGTCTCTGCAGGAAAAGCATGGTCTGTGAGATTGGGGGACACCGGTGATCTTCAGTCCTACCACAGAAAACATGACGTCCATCCAGCACCCACACCATTCCAGCTGCGACTTGTGGTTTCTACCTTTGCAGTCTATTCCATATCCACCCCTTTCTCACTCCCTGCATGGTGCCACCTGGCCCTGCCTTTAACCCTGACTGCTTGGACCCATCCAGGCCTCAGTGCCCACCTGGCCTTGAGAAGCTGCCACCAGGAGGCGCCTGTGAGTCCTGAGTCCACTCCTCTCCTATGTAGCCTGTCACTCACCTTCTATAGGTCCAAGCCTCAAATCTTTCAAGTTCCCCTCTATCACTCTCTCTAGGCACCCAGTAAATTGTGCCCAGACATTGTCCTCAAGTTACACACCCAAGTCAACTTTAGGCTGTAATCATGCAGCATCCCACACTCTTAAAACTTAAGGCAGCTGGGCATTGGTGGCAGACGCCTTTAATCCCAGCACTCAGGAGGCAGAGGCAGGTGGATGGATCTCTGTGAGTTCGAGACCAGCCTGGTCTACAAGAGCTAGTTCCAGGACAGCCTCCAAAGCCACAGAGAAACCCTGTCTCGAAAAACCAAACCAAACCAAACCAAACAAACAAACAAACTTAAGGCAAGAAGATCTCTGTGGTTCAAGGCTAACGTGATTTACAACATGAGTTCCAGGACAGTCAGGACAGCACAGAGAAGACTTTACTTTTAAAAAAGCAACAAAACAAAACAAAACCCCGCAACCTCAGGCTTAAGCACCCTTGAAACAGCACCCAGCACCCCAAACACTAGCATTTGCTTCAGTGAGATGGCTCAGAGTGTAGAGGCACAGGCTGCAAAGCCCGAACATGGAAATTGAGTCCCCAGGCCCCATGCAGAGAGGGAAGAGACCAATTCCCATGTCATCCTCTGCATCATCCATACCTTTGCACTCCCCCCATCACATACGTCACACAAATGCAAGCCCAGTGTGGCTCACACCTTTAACAGAGCGTGTTCCAGGACAACCAGAGCTACATAGAGAAACCCTGTCTTAGACAGACAAACAAACAACCACCCACCATTCAGCACCCTTGAAACTCACCACTAAGACTCGAACATTCCAGCCAAGTAACCGACCCATCAAGCCCCCCTCAAATGTGCTATCGTGGGCTCCCAACACTTACATACCTGTCCCCGATGAACAGTGTCCTGTTAACTCGTAGCACCCGCTGGATGTTGAGGTCCTCAGCACCCTCTGCAGGGGTCAGACGACCAGGCCCGCTGCCCACGAACACGGGGTAGTGGCTAAGGTCTAGGGAAGGGTGTGGAAGAAGGATGCACTTGGAAACAAGATCCCCACCTGGGCCCCGATACCTCCCACCCATCGACTTCCCAGACTCACAGTCCCTGGGAGCCACACTGAGTGGAGGTGGTTCTTCCGGGAAGAGGCCATGAGCGACCCCCAGGAGCAGCAGCAGAAGCAGCAGCAGGGCCAGGCAAGGAGGGGGCGCTCGCGGGGTCCGCATGGCGAGGACCAGGTGGCCACAGGTGACACCTGCAAGGCAGGAGTGCAGTTGAGTGGCACGGTTTGCAGTTCCACCATCTGCCGGTAGGGGGCGCAGAGCACCCTTCCTCCCAGAATAAAAGTAACAATAACATTGATAATAATAACGACGCTCAGACGTTGTTTAGACGTTGTTTAATTAACAAGCAACTTTACCACCACATGTGAATAAAAATCTCAGGAAATAGCTGCAAACGAAAATGCATTAGGTAATTAAAAATTAATCACGAGAATTACAATAATGGATATTATCTTAAAACATGAGCTTAAAAAATCCAATCTCAAAAAGCATTTAAAAAAATCATTCAAATTAAAACAAGAAAAGCCTTAGAGCCTGGCATCGTGGCTCAGGCCTGTCATCTCAGCCCTAGAGAGACTGAGGCAAGAAGGAGGTCTAGGCCAGACTAGGCTACACAGCAAGACCCCACGATAAAACCAAATAGCCACAAAATTAAAACAAAGAGGGACGCGATTTTAAATGCAAAGGCTGAGAAAAACATAAGAGAATTGAAAGCCCACAGCGCTTTATAAACCACAACATAAGCGATGGGGTCACGGAACATCCCACGCGCCAAGGCCTGGTGTCCCTGGTGGGCTTGACTTCCTGGCCCCTTTGGCTGTTTCCTCCTGCTCTCATCTATAACTGGGGAATCCTGAGGTATTTGAGTTCACGCGTGGGACCCCAGCCCTCCAAAACCAGGGCAGGGCAGCATCTCCCTACCAGAAAGGGGTGCAGTCCCAAACCAGCAGCTTCATCAATCTCCAACAAGCTCCGGGCCTCAGTTTCCCCATCCAGGCAGCAGAGGCATCTCCCAGCCCTCCCCTGACCTTGTGTATTGAGGATCTCAAGCCCCAGTAGGTGGGGGCGAAGGAGGGAACAGCAGCTCCAGAACACAAGGCACTAACGTTCAGGGCCAAAAAACAGGAAGACCTTGCGCAGCTTCCTCTGCCTGACCCTGGCTTCCAGGATTTGTGACTCAGAGGACGCGTGTCCTCGGACACGAGCCTACTTCCCCAAGAGTTTCCTACGCTGCTCCTCCCTGCTCTGTCCCCGCTACCCACCCCAAGACCCCAGATCCCAGGAGGCAGACCTCAGCACAGCGGCTGCCCCACCCCTGCTACTGCCCAACCTCTCACTGGGGGGATTCTAGGCGGGGCTCCACCCTGACCACGCCCCCAACCTCTCACTGGGAGATTCTAGGCGGGGCTCCACCCTGACCACGCCCCCAAACTCTTACTGGGAGATTCTAGGCGGGGCTCCACCCTGACCACACCCCCAAACTCTCACTGGGAGATTCTAGACGAGACTCCACCCTGACCACGCCCCTTGCTCCCTCACTGGGGATTCTAGGCGGGGCTCCACCCTGACCACGCCCCCAACCTCTCACTGGGGGGATTCTAGGCGGGGCTCCACCCTGACCACGCCCCCAACCTCTCACTGGGGGGATTCTAGGTCTGATTCTGTAGCTCTGAACTCACAGTCTCAGAAGCCGCTTTGGGGAGCTCTGGGTTCAACAAGAGCCCCTGCCCTGCAAAATAAGTAGTAAACAACAATTTTTTGAGGCTGGTTCTTACTATGTAGACCAGGCTAGCCTCAACCTCCCCTGAGCCCTGAATCTGGGTCTTCAGCGGCACAATTGAACTCAGGGCTCCAACCCTTCTCTGAGATGCTGCAGCCTCCTGGCACTTGAAAGCCTCTCCACGCCGTCCAGGGCGCCCCATCACACCCCCTCCCCACCCTGCTCAGCTCATGGTCACCCGTACTTGTAACACGTTTTCCACTAATCAGAAAGTTCTCCAGCACACAGGAATGACGGACGTTGTGGGTCTGTCTCCCTCAGGCTCCCTCCTCCCTCCTCCCTCAGCCCGCAGTCCCCCCTCTTTCCCCCTCTCTGCTGCTGCTCCTCAAGCTACGCTCTGCCCTGTGCCAGTGCCTTTGCACAGGCTGACGCCACTAGGTGCCCACAGGGCTCTCCTACAGTCAGGTATACTTTTGGCGCTCAATAGTTGTGTGTGAATGATCACCACCGAGAGTTGTACCCTGCCTACCACAGTGTCCCCTGCCACACACCCACCCTTGGCTACCCTGATACGGAGCCTGTCCCAGTTTGAGTGGCCACCACACCTGTGTTCACCTGTCCCTGGGTGCACCCCAGCTCCTGCCCAGCTCCTCCTCCATGTGGCTTCTAGGGACGACGTTCATATGACAGCCCAACCTCACTAGCTGTGTGGGGAAACTGAGGCCCAGCATGAGGGGTGGACAGGCCCCACCAGAGGCCAAGGACAGTCACTTCCTGGGCTCTGCCTCCGGAGATAACTGTAAATGCCCCAGATGTCACAAGTGAACACCCCCCAATTGGTAGCTGTTGTACAATGGGCCATGGCTGCCCAGCCGCCTTGATGTGACACTGAGCGGCAGGACTGACTGCCACCCCAAACTCCTCAGCCCAACCTCAACCAACACCCTCACCCCACCCACTTCCCTGACCCCACCTCATCCCTAGCCCCCATCTACCCCCACCAAACCCCAATTTCCTCACTACCCCACCCCACCCTTGCACCTCCACAAGCAAGTTCTACTTTCTGTCCATCTTGATTTCAGGGGGGCTGGGATGCTGTGGAAGGATCCCCCCACCTTTCTGCCCCCCCCATTCCCCATGGCCACCAAACAAGCCACAGCAGGGTCCCTCATCTAGCTGCGACCCTGGCTTTGCCCTCCCTAAGCCTCTGGGAACTCCATGGGGACTCTCGATTGACAGGACAATCCCCTGTCTCCTCCTGCTGCCCCCCCCACCCCCAACGCCTCCGCCACCGTGGCACTGGCATCCCCAGGGGGATCAGGTGACTAGCAGCAGCCAAAGCTGGCCTGGTCCGGTTACTGGCTCCCCTTACAGCTCCTCCCAGCTGCCTGGAGCCCACTTGGCAAGGGCAGGGCAGGGGGTTCAGCCTTGCCCCTCTCAGCTCAACCCCCTCTTCCTGACTCTTCAGTACTGGGGCCTCAGTTTCCCCACTCACAAGACAAGCAACAAGTGTGATGGCCCTGCACCCATGCCCAGTGAGTTATTGAAGTATACAAGTGGCGCACAATGGTTGCTTAGCTGTAAGGATGGGATGTCGGAGCTTGCTGTGTCCTCCCTCTGAGAAATGAGTCTGGCCTGGCTGTCACTGCTATGTCCCCAGTAACACGAAGCCAGTATACCGCAGTAGCTCTGCAAATACCAGGAGAACAAATGTCTTGGCAAGAGCACCATGGCAAAGGCATGCTCATGGATACTGCCGTGAACTGTATCATGCATGCCCAGGCCTTGGCACTGCAGCGGGTATACAGAAGGTGGTCAATGAACCAATGGCATGCAAAGCTCCTCACAGGCATGAACGGACATCATGCCCACACCGGCCCTGGACACATGGAAACCCCAGAGCTCAGAGATGTTGCACCATTGGCCTAGGTCACACAGTACATCCCAGTGGACAGTGGGGCAGAGAACAGTGTGTGCAGACCCTGTCCTCCGGGGACCTGCGAGCACACCCCTGATGGACACCTGAGATATGCACAGATATGCACAGGCGCCTGGCCTTGCAGTGACTGCTGGGGACAGGAAGTGAGGAAGACACTTCCCTGGGAAAGACTTTGGGGCCAGAGTATACCAGAGGTCCCACGCGACCGCCCACGGTGAGAGTCAAAGCTAGAGTCATTGTGCGGGTGACCTCAGGACCACAGCACCCCAATTCCAGCTTCGCATCTTCCCAGAACCTGGGAGCCAGGCCCCTGAAGGGAATCCACATAAACACTTATGGAGCACTTACTGTGTTCACATAATGGAACACCTACTGTGTTCAAAGCTCACATCTGGAGCACCTACTGTGTTCCCAGCTCACATCTGAAGCACCTACTGTGTTCCTAGCTCACATGATAGAGCACCTACTGTGTTCCCAGCTCACATGATGGAGCACCTACTGTGTTCAGAGCTCACATGATGGAGCACCTACTGTGTTCAGAGCTCATTGATGGAGCACCTACTGTGTTCAGAGATCACATGATAGAGCACCTACTGTGTTCCCAGATCACATGATGGAGCATCTACTGTGTTCCCAGATCACACGATAGAGCACCTACTGTGTTCAGAGCTGGTAGTGTGTCAGAGGACATCTACCTCAGTCCCTGGTGTAGGGGCTGCCTGGACTTTTTACTGGAGAGACGACTAAAACTCAGAGTGGGCAGAAGGAGCCCGAGCTTGCACAGCCAGGAAGTGGCCACAACTACTGCCACAAGGACCCACTACAGGTAAAGATGTCCCCAGCTTCTGGGATCCCCAGGGCCTGTATTCCCTGCAGCTCTGCACCATCTCCCCCGCTCCCTTCTCCCTCTGCCCCAGCCACAGGGGCCTCTTCCATTATACTAGGATGCATCCTGCAACTGAGGCCTTTGCACAGCCCTGACTCTGCCCCGGGGCTTTGCATGGCTGTGTTCCCTGACCCTGGCCTTTACACTATTGGCCCTGGCCATTGGCTTTGCTTTACCCGTGGAGAAACGGAGGCTCTGAAGAGGCAGGTTTGCTCCATGTGCTGCTGCAGGCCTGAGGGCCACATCCTGGGAAGGGATCTCTGATGTCAGAAAATATGTGACTACCACCTGCCCAACTTGTACACATCCATCACTGCTCTAGCCGCAAAGCTGCTTCTCCATGGACCTTCCCTGAGCCACAACGCAGAATCAAACTTTCCCTAGCTTCAGTTGCTCCCTCCACTCCAGCTCCACCTGTACACCGCAGAGTGAGGCCAGGATCTGCCTCAGTTTCCTCTCCCATGGTCTGGAAGAGTTCTGAGGAACAAATAGACAACTAGGGTTGCTGTATGGGCAAGACACAGACCACAGCACGCAGGGCCATTGGGAATGTTTGTTGACTGACTTCCCGGATCACTCAAAGTCCCCCTAGAAACCCATAATCCCCTTTAGGGCTTTTGAAAGCATTCAGGAAGTTCCTTAGAGTTGAGCTAAGTGCATCCTGGGAAATGTAGTCTTCAGACGGCCTGGACTGCACCTCACCTGAGTTAAGAGTCAACCCACCCACCATGCCCCCACTCACGAAGGACGCGCGTCAGCGCCTCCGCTCCCGGCGGCCCTAAGATCTCGCCATGTACCCTTATCTTGACAATCCCCCGGCTCTGCGTGGCCCCAGGAACCGAGCTCCCACTTCAGAAAGTTCAGGCGCCCTGGGAAGTCCTCCCACTCCCCAGCTCAGTGCTCCCAGCTGCCCCTCCAGGGCCACACCCAGGGTCAGCTCGGGACACCCGCCTTCCCTGGAGGCGCCGGTCACCTTTCTGTCCCGCTCACCTGTCCGCAGACTGACGTCACCTCTCCCAAGGGCAGCCGCCTGCCTGCCCTCTGTCACAGACAGACAGACAGACAAATGCAGGAGGGCTGGAAGCCCCGGAGGCCCCGAGGCCCCAGGACACGCAGCAGGGAAAGAAACCGGCAGAGCTGGTCGTGAGGAGGACGCACAGAGACTAACCTCCGGCCCCAGGACACTCAGAGAGGCTAAAAGTTCAAACCGACTTCCCGCCAGGGCCGAGACATCCAGAGCCACCTCGGAAGGGACAGGGACACGAGAGCACTCCGGTTTCCAGTTGATGGAAAGAGCCGGGTCCCTCCCTTGCTGAGGAATCCAGGGTCCCACAATACTAGGCAGTTCCAGCTGGCGCTCAATGTGCCTCAGTTTCCCCACTTCCTCTTGGCCCCTAGGCTGCCATCTACTCAGCTTGAGACTCCCCAGTAGGGAGCAGTGGACCCCCCCCACCCCAAGCCAGCAGGCCAGACAGCACCAGGCCCTCCCAGGTCCAGGCCTTGAGCCCCAGACCTCCCCACCTCTGACCTCTCGATAACCTGAAAGCAATCACGCACCCCGAAAATCAGCCTGGGGCCGAGAAAGAACAGGCAGAAGCGGCCTGGCCAGTCCCTCCGACCATTCTGTCCCCAGGGCCTCCTCCAGCCCAGAGCTCACTGAGCTGCAATATTGGGGTTCCTAACTCAGTTCCTCCCAGCTTGGGGTGTGGGTGTCCGGCGGCTAAAAGAAGAACCTGGGGGTGACACAGGCCTCAGGCAGGTGACAGAGACCTGGGGAAGCGGGGAGACG